TATTCTGTAAAACTTCTTCAGTAATTATTTCTGTAGCAAATAAAGAGAATATTGGTTGAATGAAATTCTACTTCATGAAATAACAATATAAATACACCTATGTGGTTATGGTAGCAGATATGGTAGACAAACGCTGCAACCTACAACACTAGAGACTCGCACAGTCCCAAGTGCATTTCCCTAAGATGACTTCAAGAATAAAAAAAAGTTCTATTTCTTCACAACTGATTAAACTGCTAGGCGTAATATGACGTCATTCAGCTAGTCTCAGAAAACCAACCTCCTCCGGCACTCATCCCTGTGCTGAAACTACACAAGTCAACAAACTTCATTTTCCTCTTGCAGCAATATTTTATGAGGCTAGGGCGTATTGTCTATACTCCAAAAACACCCTACCTTGTCCTCTGAAAAGCAGTGCATAAAAAAAATCTCACAGAGTTGTCTTATGCACCCACCTAAGACAACTCGAAGGCAAGATCCATTTTGTTTTTAATGGGATAGCAATTATATGGACATTCTCGACCGATTTTTGCCACTGCCAGGGGTGTAGCCAGAAATTTAAAAAATAAAAGGGGGGTGCACCTTGATTTGAAGGGGGGGCCGGCAAAAGGTAATTTTGCACTATATATGCCATGGCTAAAAAAATTTCGGGAAGGGGGGGAGGCACGTTCTTGATGTGTGCGTCCCCCTGGCTACGCCACTAGCCATCATGTTTTGTGTAATGTCCCAATCGATAACATCCCCCGGCACATCGTGTTATCGTGTTTTACACGCGGGTAAAAGCAGAGAGAAGAGCCGACTTATCTCCTATTCACTGAGTGCGGATGCGATAATATCACCCCGCATGCCAGGCCTCCTATCGACTGTTACTCAAGCAGAGAGGAACGCGCCGCCCGTGTCCAAGGCACAGGCAGCATCGAGCTGGAAACGTGAGGGGGGGGGGGGGGGGGGCATTGTTATGATCTTTGACTTAAAGGGTGCGATCGCTGGCGCACACTCTATTTACGACTGGTATACCCTTCTACCTTGTACTATAAACGTGGACAGACGGTGCAAAAAGTGTTTCGCTTTCTAGAGCGGCCATATAAGGGTATGCACTGAGCCTTGATCGCAAGGCAGCCACGACATCACCGTGCCATCTCGGAAGTCCATTTGTACGTGCCGTTCGTGCTGTACAAATAGATTCACACTGGTCTAGAGCAGCGGAGCACGACCGTGCCATCTCGGAGGTCCATTTGTATGTGCCGTTCGTGCTGTACAGATAGAATCACACTGGTATAGAGCAGCGGAGCACGTGCCTGTCGACATTGTTGTTACCCGCGGCTTCTATGTCACATCAGCTACAAGCTTGCGTTGATGCTTACAATACAGCACAAAGGCTCAACACGCAGTACAACCATGTTTGGTAGCATTACAGCGTCTCTCTTTACATGTTTCTGAAGAAAACGCCAGCTGGAGCGGCCAGCTGGGCACTCTAGACAAGTCTAATTCTATCTGTACATGCAAGAGATGTTTCGGGGGTCTCAAGTCACCCAAGTCGCGGATATAAAACACCGCGCGTGCAGCAAGTTTTTTCGAATGCACGGACCTTGGAAATGGCAACCCCGCCGCTAGCGCTTCTCACGAATGACATCAAGCATACAGTTTCATACAACAGTACCTAGAGAGGAATCTGTCACTGCGATCGTGTACCTCTATGGGAACTATGAGATGTACAGGCTTCGGATTGGATAGGGTTAGCTAGCAAACTGTCTACAAACTTTTTCTCCAGTTTCAGTTTCGTTCTTCGCGAAGCGAGGGTAGTGGAGTGGGGTGCAAAGCACTGAAGCAGCGCCTTTGTTGTTCAAAGATGCTGATGACCGCTAGGTCTCTTGATTTGCTGCAACGTTCGAGCTTTTCGAGTCGTATTTGAGAGTTTAAACAAAGCGTCGTCCACTCACCGCTCCGCATAGATGTAGCATCTCATGCGAGTGCAGGATACTGCATCGAGTTCATGTTTTTTCACGAACGCGTCTTGCCTAAACTCGGTTTAAATGGACTGCAAAACGATGACGAAGCTAAGTAGACGCACCGCCGCACTCCGTTGACTCGACTTCACATCAAACCAGAGGTTCTTCGGGGCCAGAACACTTGGACAGACGCACCTAGCATCGCAGAAGACAAAACATTAAGCGTTTCTTACCTAATACTGTACTGTTATTTCTATAAATAGATAATGCATACTTTCCAGAGAAAAACAAGCATGTTTGTTTTCAAGTGTAAAAAATAATTCATTAAATTTTTATGCCAAATTTTGAACGCAGTGGCAGAGCAACGCATACCCCGATGGTTGAATTTGCCAAGGTTTCACTTTTGCCGCCTAGTCACAAAAACTTTTTGCAATTAAGTTTGCGTACAAATAAATGAAGCAAGTTTAAATTAAATATAAGCTCATATGAGATTGTTTTACACTCGGAAACGCAGCGTCGCAAATCTTAAAAGAACATAATCCATCCGAAGCCTGTACTTTCCTTAATTCCCATGAGGGTACAAGCGCTGCTGAAAGAGCCCGCGCAGACACTAGCGCCAGATTCCCCTCTAGGTATTATTGTAAGAAACTCTATGACAACAAACCTTATTATTTGGTATAACAATACAATTTGTTGGTATCGCACTCGCTCCAAAGAGCTTAAGTGAAACTAGCAAATTGTATCTTTTAGATCCGATACTGCCAATATCGCATAACTCAAAAGAACGCTGGCCAAAGGGACAATGATCACTTTAGTTGCCGAAGCTTTCATGCTGTCAGTTATCTAAATGTGAAGCAGATGTCAGTAGCACAGAAAGTTAATGCGCAGTCTCATTAAGCCACGAGATAGCGCGCATTCTACCCTATAAGCTACTTCAAGTGACGCAGCAGCCTCCCCTTCACACCTCCCTTCAAAACGAAGCAATAAATATGATGCCGTGATGTTAATTTTTTTCACCGTCAGCTATTGACCCTGAAAAGCGAGAGGCGGACGTGTAACAAAACGTAGCCGCTTTACACGCCTTCCAACAACAAAGCCGCCAGTGATGGCCTAACTACAGCTGTACGTATTAAAACCGAATTGCAGCTGCTCCAACCAGGAGACATGCTTTTATAAATAAGATGACATTTAAAAAGAAAGCACACAAGAATTTTAAATTAGGACCCTAGCAACCTGGAGTTCGAAAAGGCAGGGTCTTTTAGGGGCTTTTACCGCCACAGCGATTATAAACGCGGATCTGCTGGTGGAAGGAATTATGAAAAAGCTCTTCTGTATGATGTTCCATGCATAAAGTATGTTAGAGGAAAGGTGTCAACGCGTTTCCACCATTTATGTGTTCTTCTGCGGACATGAAGCACAAAAAATTAGATCACGCAGACATAGACATGGCTGACATTCTGGCAGCACGCATGCAGTTATCAGTGAAAATTGCTTTATTACATGCCGCGCAACTCTTCAAACTAACTATAAGCAGTGTTCCTGGAACGGACGACGTCCGTCCATGAATCGCCACTACAGTTTCACGCTACTGATACGACTAGATGTCATGAGCCCCTGCGGAGAGCGCGTTTCGCTGTGAAGTGGACTTGCACAAATGAGTTGCGTCGGCACCAAACATAACATCGTGAATTTTAGGATGCACGCGCGACCACAGTTTATTCAGCGAAATTAAATAGGTACGTGATTGTGTCTTTGGTGGTCCCGAGAACAAGGTGCACATGTATTGACGCGCCAGCGTTGCTATTGGTGATAGACACTCCTAAATCCGACTTCAGCGCAGTTTGGCGCGATTTCTGTTTGTATTACTAAGATGGCGCAGTAAATCTGATTTGGTGCACTTTGGTGCAGGAGTGGGATCACTGTTTAAGCTGATTATTTTTTAAGTTGTTCTCCTTTTTTGAAGTGTGAACTGTATAATCAATGCAGAAATTTTTCATTTTAAACATTTTTACTTACTGTGTATAATAAAAATAAATGCTAGATTTATGTTGCTGTACAGACCATTTTTTAGCTACCGTTCGGTACCAAATAATGTAAATAAGGCATTGTTATCTAGCCACAAGAAAAGATGTTTTTTACGCCAAGTGAAAACAGCCTCTTTTCTAGCAGTAGCAAAAGAGTTGATGACCAGCGGTTATCCTGCCTACGTGCTAGGTTCCCAGCCCATTTCTTCTTGATTTCAACTATGATATTCTTAACCTTGGTTTGTTCCCTGACCCACTCTGCTCTCTTCTTGTCTCTTAAGGTTACACCTATCATTGTATATGCCTTCACAAATGTGTGGCTGCTATCTATCACGGCATTGTTAGCAGACTAGGGTTAATTTGCTAGGCTATAACAAAGAGCAGGCCATAACAAGAGAAGTGTGAAGTTTAAATCTGTGCATGTGAATTGCATGGGAGCTATCTGTGATCCTGTTACCAGTTATCATGATTTGTCAGCTATGCATGCGGCCCTTGGTAGTTTCATTTCAACTCTACACACTGGCTGCAATTTCACAAAACTTCCACACGCCGCACTTCCAGACGAAGAGTCATTCTACTGCACAGGGCTGGCTTGCTGGCACAAAGCTTCCCAGCAACATCCCAATAAATTAAATATCCCTTGCTGGATAAGTTACGGCTGAAAAAATTATGTGTACCGCCGTGGTGGTGGCAATAATGAGAGAAATGGGTAGGAGCTGATGAACACATTTCGCATGGGATCATGGGATCTTTTTTTTGTGAAAAATGACAGGATTTATAGATTCCTTCTGTAAAACAAAATGTGTGGCAGAAGATATTAGTTTATTGTTTTCTTGCTACTTTTAATACTGAAAATTTTGTTAATTCCTAATTTTTTTTTTACCTACCTCACAGAATCAGAATTGGCAATATTCCACTGTACTTTATTTTCATGGTGCATATAAATAGTGTTTCAGAAAACAGCGCCCAGCGATCACTATGTAAGTTGTGAAGAGTTGCTGCATGCACAAAACATTGAAATGCACACCTCGGCAGCTCACCCACTGGTACACCAGCCTCAGGGGCATCAGGATCAGGAGCCCTGAAAGAAGTTTGTGCATATATGTTTAGCAAGGGTGAGCCTAGATGTGGCCAAAGAGGGGATAAAAAGCAAGAAACAACTTGCAACATAGAAGCTTCTTTTAAACTAAAAGGGCCCTCATTTGTGAACACAACTGTTTTTGGAAACTTGGAAGCCTGCAGCACTACAATATGTGGCAAACACCATTGGAGATATGTGCTTTATATATGAGTTAGCTCTCTTAAAATGTTCAGACCCATTTAAAACCCTTTAATATAAGATTAAAAATTCGGCAGATCCCACATACCTGGCAATGGACGTTATGCAAAGCATACGGAGGGAAGATGACCGTGTTGCAATTTTTTTATTGAGCGACGGGTCATGAAATGACGCTAAATATATGTACAAATGTTGCATGCACAGACATATGTTGAAGAGTTGCAGATGTCTATATAATCAGCTGCTTGCACTTGCACAACGATGCCAACTGGAACATGCGTATTAGCAACACCAGAAGCTGATATAAAGCGCAGATGCTCGCGACGATGCTGGCCCTGGACACTGCTACATAAATCAACTTCAGCGCATAGCAACTAACCACAATTGATGTTAACCCGACGTGACGGCTGTATCAAAGGAGTACATATTGTTACACTGAAGCGGGAACATGTGAACAAAGAAAGAGAATGAAGTGTTCTGTCTTAGAAGCAGCTCGATGACGGCAGGACTACCGTTCACTATTCACGCTTGAATCAACACACTTGACTGTTAACAGTTTCGGTGGAGGTGCTCGGTATGGATCCCAGTACCTCTCCACCAAAACTGCTACAATGGGGCATGTTTATTCAAGGGTTAATAGTGAAGGGTAGCCGTGCCGTCACCGAGCTGCTTGTAAGACAGAACATTTCGCTCTCTTCCCTATAGAATATGCATCGAGAGAGTATTCAGTGTAGCAGCTGGCCTATGAACACGGAAACGTTGAAGAATTAGCGAAAACTCTGAAAGACAACTTCTGTTGAGAGTTAACATGTAACACTTGTAACACTATACAGGAGAAGTGACAGTAGGCCTCCCATATTCACACAAGCCTCAAGCATACTCTCTGTAATTACTGTAATCAATTACACATTAAAGAAAGTAACTGTAATCAGTTATTTTCTGTAACGTGCACAAGTATGCCCACAACCAATAGGTATTGCTTCAGCTGAGCACACTGCTGTACTACTACTTCCCATGACCATGACACACAGTAGTTAAAATGTAGTTAATGTATCATTTTGTTTACGTATTTATTTCTATTTTTTATAGTTACGTTCTGCTATAACTGCTGTTTACGTTGCTTCACTAATGTTTTGTTATTCTTGCAATTTGTTCCCACATTTTGCAGTTCAATCATTTTTCATGATGGGTCGCCCTATATTCTTCTAGCCCCCTAAGTTTATAACATTAATTTTCACATATTGTGTACTGTTATTTTGCTAATAATAATCTTGAAACAACTTGAGATGGCAAAAACAAAAGTTATGAAGATTACTAAATACTTGAGATGCAGACCCAAGACGGAAACAGATATACCCACCCTTTGCCAGCAAGGGCTGGAGTGATTGGATTGTCCCTGTTGACATCTATGTGCCCACACTTGGTGCATCTGGTCTTGAACAAAGTCCCTAAAGCAGACAAAAACATCAGATTTATTTTATGTGCCCACACTTGGTGCATCTGGTCTTGAACAAAGTCCCTAAAGCAGACAAAAACATCAGATTTACAACCAACTTTTCTCAGTGATTAAAATTACAGGGCTGCAAGTAAACAGTGGCATATTGTTTGGAATACCACCTGTGGCTTTTTTCCCCCACAAATCTCCACTCCTTTTCATACATGAAGCAACAAACCATGACTGATGCATAAGTGACCTTACATAATGGCTGACTTAGAAATATAAAGCAAGTAATGTTATTGGAACCCTAGCTTCCAATCCTTGCTGCCAATTTTCCCATTCAATAATAACTCACTACAAAATTACCACCTAGCATCAGTGTAATAAAAGAGCGGAGTTCCTAGTTATTCAATGACTACCAATATGTACTTGAAAACACGTACCATGAAGCTCCAACAGGTTTTTAGTTCCCGCTGCTCTATGTAATTCATCAATGTTTTGAGTGATAACGACAAATGTCCGTCCTTCCTTCTCAAAGTGACTTTCTGCTTCTGCTAAAGCTTTGTGTGCCTACGGAAAAAAAGGAATATGTATTGCAAGAGTGATATGCGATTATGTCAATAAAGCTGATGCAATAATACTGACATTTACAATTATTTGTTTAAAAAAGAGACACATATAGAGCACGTGATCTTGCAAACCCAGGCAATATATAATCAGATCTTTACAAATTAACTCTTCATGACTCCTTTAAAATGCGAGCCCAAGCTGTACTCGTCATATTAATTTATACCAACATCACCAAAGGTAAGCCCTGTTCAACCACACACGGTTTCCACAGTGTTAATTATCATGAACAAGTGATGCACATGTTCATGTTTTAAAGGGGTACCGAGACAAAATTTCACGGGCGAGATAGCCTGCGGGCTCGATTCCTGTGAACACACGTATATCATCGAAAAAATATCAACAACGAACATAGCTTGGAAGGTATTTTACAGCAACCTTGAAGTTTCAATTTTGAAGGGGGGACCCCATGGTGCCCCTTTACTTTCTCACAACACCATGCCGCAGTAAATAAAACAAGTTATGATGACGTCATTGCTATCATTTTTCTTTTGCCATGTTTGTTCCAGCTGCTCCGGAGTCCGTGGCAGAGGCACATGCATTAAAAGTTTTTTGTTTGGCGACAATGCTGTCCAGTTTCCCATTCAAAAGGACTTCTTGATGTGGGCGGTGCGGAAGTGCATCACAGTTCTGTGTGCTGATGAGGTTGAGAGCTGCACAGGCTATGCAATGATAGTTGCACTAGGTGGCTTGTCATTGATGGAGCACTCCCAAACTTAAACTGGTCCGTAATGAGGAGCCTGTAAATAATTACATGTCGTGCACTGCAGACAACGATGTGTTGTGTTGCAACTAACAGGCCCTCATTCACGACTAACAGGCCCTCGTTAACTGCAAAAGAGTGGCTACTTGGGCTGGTTGGTATTGCATTTCGAAAGAAATTTACTTTCCTAGGGTTTTAAGTGTGCACTCTGTCCTATCTCAGTGCTCTACCTTCTTTCTCAAACGTTACCTGCGCACTAAGAAAAGTAAATTTTTTTCAAAATGCCATCCTTAACACACTGCAGCAAAAAAAAAAAAAAAAAAAACGAGAGGCTAAACTTTTGTGTCAGTACCGCTTTAAAGGCTTGTGCAAGTATTTCACAGCTTATATTTGATTTTGGTGTCATGTTGTGAAAGAATCTTATTGAGGGCTTTAATGCGTAATAAGGAAACTATTCCTTTAAAAAATTAGAGGACCCTTGAGCTTTGCTTTAAGGAGTTGAATGCGATAGCGCGATCTTGTCCCTAGTACGTACTTCAACCACTTTGTGCATACGTTTTATTCAATGATGTTACTTAAAAAGTTAAATTTGTAAATCACTACAATATAAACGATCAAGTTGAAAGTGGCTTGTTTCAGTGAAGCTTTCGAAAATGGCTGCATTCTGCGTAATAAGTAGCATGCTTTAAACCATGAGCAATTATGCACATGAAATGTTTCCAATCTTGCTATTCACCCACTACGTGGTCTTCAGGGAATACGCACAGTATGTGCATCTTGTAATAGATGGCCAGCTTTAAACCACGAAGTTGTTATGATAATCACATGTTCTGACACCTCATGGCAGTGTACACTTGTACCACGCAATATTACCGTGATAATACACGTTGTATTGTGAAGCTCGTATACAGGACACATATGATTGTAAAGCATGAAAGTTACTTTCACTGCATTTCCAAACAAACGCGTGGCTTTAAGATAGACCACCTCTTTGCCATGCAAACGGCCTGGGTTTAATCCTCACTCGGACCCGGAAATTTTTATTTTTTTTCTTTTATTTGCATCTTTCTTGATTTTTACGTCACGGTCAAGATGATTTCTCACTCGCAACCAACGACACAGACATTTCTCTGAAACGAGCTCATTAACACTATTATGTTAAAAGATAGTTTGTTATATTCAATGCTTTACTGAGTGTTGATTGATATGTGGGGTTTAACGTCCCAAAACCACCATATGATTATGAGAGACGCCGTAGTGGAGGGCTCCGGAAATTTAGACCACCTGGGGTTCTTTAACGTGCACCCAAATCTGAGCACACGGGCCTACAACATTTCCGCCTCCATCGGAAATGCAGCCGCCGCAGCCGGGATTCGAACCCGCGCCCTGCGGGTCAGCAGCCGAGTACCTTAGCCACTAGACCACCGCGGCGGGGTACTCTTTACTGAGTGTAAGGAATATAGAAAACGTACACACAGAATATATATGAAACATGCAAACCATTAAAAATCACCAAAAAAAAAGAAATTACATGGGAAATCTTCTGTAGTTTCCTGAAGACCTTGGTGTTCACAGTTATGAAAAAAATGAGAAAGAAATACAGAAATGTGCCACCTGCATCTAACAGAAAGAAAGCGATATATGACCAACAATGCCATTTGTCATATTGTGTAAATATATCACTGCTTTAGTTAACAACTCAACATACCAGTCGTCAAGTCACGCTTGTCCTAGTATATAGTAATACATATAAAGTATTAAATTCACAATTCTACCAGTCAAAACCATTGGCAATGTTGATTTTGAAGCATACCATAGCAGGAACTCCAGATTCACTTTTTACCAGCAGGATAGTTTAACATGCATCTAAATCGCCAATAAGTCATGACAGCATAGTCAGTGTCGGTGCAATGTGCCGCCTGCCTTGAGGCACAGAAAGTTACGACGTTAATGGGCAGTTTTTTTTTTTTTCAGCGGCACTTAAAGGTATATTGAACAAAAACTGGCAATGAACTCTGACAATGCAACTGTTCCAATAAACAAAGTTCATTTCTGGTATTTTTTTAACAGTTTCCTGTATTTTTGATGGTTTGCCTGCACGCCGCAGTTGCATGCAAGCACGAGCAGTGACGCCACATCCTTCGAGGGTGCACGTGTTCCTGTCCTCTTTCTTTTCTCCACCTCTCCTTTCATCTCACTCTCCTCCTTCCCCAAAAGCACGGTTGCTTATACCCAGCTGGGAGCATTGTTCTCTACCGGAACTGATTGGGAAGCTGAGTAGGTCGAGAGACACGGGCGACAGCTAGGTATTGTTGGCTTGCCCATTTAAGGCGTATGTACAGGATAGAGGAGGGATGTGAGTGTCCGCGGCCACGGTGACTCGGGAAGATAGCGGCTTGAAAGGTCTTTCAGACGTCGGCGCTTCACACAGGGGCAGTTCAGACGTCGTCGACAACTCTAGTACGGCACGCGCACAGTGAACGACGGCATGATGAGCGTAGAGGAAGTGCCAGCCTAAGATGATATCATGCGAACATGGGGAAAACACAACGAATTCGACTACATACAAAATATTTTGGATGACCAGTCGAGCTGTGCACGCCGCAGAAGCTTGGATGTGATGCGCAGTGGCCGTGCGGAGAGAGACATCGGAAAGTAGCAGTGTAAGCTTCTTCAACTTGCGGCACAGTTCACCACTTAGCACAGACACGGCAGCACCAGTATCAACGAGCGCTTGCACCGGTACACCATCAATAAGCACAGTTATTTCATTACCAGGTAGAAACGGAGGCCTTGCAAGTTTTGATATGTGCACAGCTCTTGCCTCGGGAACTGTGATGGTCAGTTTTCCGTTCGGGTGGGTGCTGATCGAGGAAGCATAGGAGAAATCGAACCGCGCCGTGGTGAGGGCGACCGATCCCTGTTGAAGCCGCGGCGACTGTTCCGACGTGGGGGGGGGCACGAAGACGACTGTGGTGGCTCTGGACGATAGCCGTAAGTCGCCTCACCAGCAGTTGAGTTATAATCCCGACGACGGCAGTAGCGTGCTACATGACCGGGAAGATGGCAGAAAGAGCAAATCGGCCTGTTGTCCGGAGTGCGCCAAGGATTAGTTAATGGTAGTGCGGGGTGGCGAACAGGAGGTGGGTAGGGACGGACAGAGGGACTTGCTCCGTAGATGGGATGGGGCTGTCTAGCAATATCCGTGGCGTTTGGTAGCGATGGCGGCGATCGTCTGGCGGCCTCAGCGTGAGAGGGGCGGAGATAGGCGAAGGATGGTATGTAGGAGACAGGGCACCAGAAACTTGCTCTTCGATTGTCTTGCAGAGCGTTGGGGTCAGCGTGTGCGCACTGGCTGGAACGTGCGGCACAAGAGACAATTGGTGCGCCACTTCTTCTCGGATGAACTGCTGAATTTGCTGCATTAAGGTGCTTTGTTCGGATGAAACAGCGCCAATGGTTAACGCAGGTGTAGAGCTCGTGTCGAGGTTTGGACGTTGAGTAGAAATGCGCTCTCTCTGCAGCTCGTCGAAACAGTGCTGAATAAGCTGGGCGACGATTTGCGGGTTTTTTGCAACGAGCAAGTGGAAGGCGTCGTCCTCGATACCTTTCATGATGTGCCGTATTTTGTCAGTGTCAGACATGTGGGAATCAATATGACGGCAGAGGTCCAGAATATCCTCAATATACGAGGTAAAGGTCTCGCCAGAGCGCTGTGCGCGGCCGCGCGAGCGCTGTTTGGCGCGGAGCTTGCGAACAGCGGGTCGGCCAAAGACTTCGCTTTGTGGTTGTTAAAACACAGTTCTGCCACACCCGCCAGGTAAAAATGAAGGTAAGCGAGCTTGTCTGTGTCATCCCACTCATTGTGGGCGCTTACCGCTTCATACTGGGACAGCCAGTCTTCGGCGTCTTGGTCGCGTTGAAAATCAATGGATCTCGCTGTCGTGGCATTCCAGAACAGGTGACAGGTGGGATTATGACTGCAGGTGGCTGGGTCATGTCGTCAGGAATTGACGAGGCGGGGGGTTGAAGTAGAGTCCGGGAACGGAGTTCTAATTTGAGACAACCAGCACTCTCCACCAAATGTAAGAATACTGTTAGACGCCACCGTGATGCAACCATTTAATGGGCCGAACAGCAGCGAGACAGCAGCCAGCTGTTTCAGCAGCAGCACGAGCCTCTGCCACAACAAACGTCTTCTTCGTCGTCTCAAGCAAGCCCGTACTTTTGTCACGACAGTTGCATCGTCTAGTTCATGGAGCGGCTGCCAGACGCAGCAGTTTGAGAGAAACCCATTAAATCCATTATTTTCTCGTAGTTTCCGCCTGGATGAAAGTTGTATATATTGATTCGATGGCCTAATTTTTTATTTTGACTGAAAATCTTGGCAGCAAAAATTTTGTTCCGTATCCTTTTAATGCTGAATAGAGACAACACTTTCCTATTCGAAGGAAAATACCACAACTGAATGCACTCTGCTGTCTCATCAAAAATGCAAGGTCAGCAAAGATGCTTAGAAATATACGTATCTCGCAAATACAAAAATTAAGAACCAAGACTGAACGAGCATAAATCTCACCGCATTAGGTTTTTTCTGTAGCACTAAATCTCGCCGGTAGTGGTAGAACTCCCACACCAGAGATGGGTTAGCCAAGAAAGCAGCAGGTGTGGCTAGATCCTTTTATAAAAACAAAAGATGTTGGCAGATGTTATATGAAGTCACATGAACAAGAGCTAGCACAAAAAGTTCCAAGTGACTACGTGGAAACATGTCATTACAACGTTGTCACCATGTGGTAACAGACCATTACTACATTCGCGAACAGTGTAACAATCGAATGAGATGCTTGTCACGGCCCACACGGAGGAACTCATGATGAGCTCGGAACTTCTGTCAGTAATTAAGAATGACTTGACAACCCTGCATTTCATTTGCCGCAAGCGACAAAGCAATAGCCAACTATGCGTGCGAATACTGAAAAACGAAATTGACCATTCGCAAAAATCTGCAAGCGGCTTTTTTCTGAGGCTGTTTGCCAACCAAAAACTCTCGTGCACAGATTGCTTTTTCTCGGTCACTGCGCTTTTACCGCTCTTATTCCAGATAAGGCACGAAAGTACGATGACTACGATGTTTTCTCCAACAATTACTATTAGGTTTGTCCCGCATCGTGCGAATCCACAGATCGCAGGGTGGCCGAGGCACCTGTCGTTCGAAAAGAAGGGGGTGGGGGTAGGAGGCAAAAACACAATAGTAAGAAAAGCAGTTTGAACGAGAGCTTTTCATTGGAAAACAACCTTGCAGGAAAGCCGCCTAGCAGATTTTTGAAAAATGGTCAATTGTGATCGCACCAGGCAGCAGCCGCTTCATGGAGAAACAAGTACGAGCGATCGCGAGTGAACTTACCTGCGCATTATACTTTCGCCAGAGGCCTCCCGTACCACGGAACGTAGGCACACCGCTCTCGGCACTGATCCCCGCTCCGGTAAGTGCAACTACGTGCTGGGCCGATTTAAACACCTCGCGAAATGCTGCCATGTCTGAACTGGGTTGCTTGCGTGCCTTCGCCATGGTGTTTGGCCGGAACATCAATGCGCCGGTGACGCTCAGAGCCCGCCTAAGCATCACACGTGACGCCATCCTGCCGTGAAAAATGACGTGCAGACAAATCAAAGTTGTTGGAGTAATGACCTCCCACTTTCAAGTGAGGGAAACTTCACACAGCAGCACTAAAGGTTTTCGTCACAATGACGAAGCAGCTGTGATGAGGGGGACTGCAACAACAAATGGTACCATCTGCGGAAACATCATTGCACAAGTCATTCAACTACACTGAAATTCAACTCTACGAAACATGAACTGTCGCTGACTGCGCGAGGCACACGCTGCAAGGACGACGATACCACAGAACCCCACTCGACATTTCAGGCACCGTACACAACTCCGCGTCAGGAATATCTGTGTATATGCATACCGTGACAGTGGCAGAAGGGCGAGGTTACTTAATGCAGGCAACTTCTGAGCTTACACTCAAAGTGACCTCCGAGCATTAGCGAAAGCACAACGATAAGGACGATAAATAGTCGTACACGCCTTACCAAGTGCAAAGCCAGCGAGGGGCGAAAGAAACAATATAAACATAATGTAGCTCAGCCAGTGCAGCTCTACACAACCCATAGATGGCAGCACACGGATAAACACAACTTTTCTTGCCACTGAAGGGAAAGCTACAGAACCAAATTGCGTGCATCCTTCTACCAATGAAAGTAGTTTCAAAGTAGCGCGTGTATTTTCAACGTGATATATGAATGTTCCCACTTCATTTTCTCGGTGGAGCTATTTGAGACAGGACCCAACTCACGCCAGTAAGATATTCGTATTTTTTTTATTTATATGTTGTGACTTTGCGTTTTCGAACGCGTGAGAAAGTCCCGCCTTTTTACGTGCACCTCAAACGTTAACAGACGTCTGCGACTACATCAAACGCTGCTGGTGCACCCCCGTCGCTTTCTACAACCTTACGAGATGCGCGCCAAAACGGACTACAAGGTTCGGACTACTTCGCGTAGTGCTACATGTGCAGAAGCTCCGCCTCCATATATGCTATAGCCACAGAACACCTATAGCCGCGTTTCATGTGCGCGCACGCACATAAAGTGCCAACCACTGGCACGCGTATGCTCGCGTCTACGCGTCAGAAGCGTCAAATGCGCCTCTCGGCGTCGGCATCGGAGGGGCATACGCGAGGAGGCGCGAGGGATCAAGCCGGGCTTGATATTTTTGCCACGCGTACGATACGTCACCACGCGTACAGCGGCGCCAACCAACCAGAGGCCGCAGGTGTTCTGTGTCGGAACGTTATGTCTAATGGCCGCCGCTTCGAAGGCACAGCCGAGTTCTGGATGCAAGCACGGAAATTACTCCAAACGACAACGACACGACGAACGACTGCGAGTGCTACCAGCGTGACGTGGTTTCGTGCCGAGTTCGAGCGATGCCGACAAATCTAGCGAATGCCGGCCGGCTATGCTAGCGCCGGTCCCGAGTGCGATCGTCGGCCGAGCGAAAGGAGCATGTCGGTGTTCTTGTGTTTTGATCTGTGACTGTCTGTGCTAATAACGAGTGTAAACAGACTTCGGAGGTTCGAAGGTTTGAGCGTGAGCCCTCGCCTACAGCGGAGGCAATTCAGAGCGGTGTCATCTGCACCCAGCGCAGGCCTCTACCGTCTAGTTCGTATGAACCAGCACATGCGAGGAACCTCGGCTGAAAAAACTCTACGGTAGATTCCGTAGCAACATAGACACCATATACGACGCCCGAAACATCGTGTAGTTCATACGGAGTTTTTATCTGCACTGTGTTTGTTTTCAACATCGGTATTCATCATCGCTGAAAGCGAACCTCGCACTAGCCAACACATTTCGGTGATGTGAAAACGTACGTACTTATAGAAGTGTATTCGCGAATTGTACGACGTTGAAACATTCGTTGGCTTCGGTGCTAATCGTTTTCGTGTGTTGCCAAGCTAATAACAAGCGTGCACTGGTTGGTAGCAGTGAGATGTGACTTCATGTCGGGTACCACCAACGCTGAAACATTCAGCTGTCAGCGGTCTCATTTCCATTCACGTACAAGACAGAAACTCGAGCGTGCGTTGCTGCGCTGATCGAAAAAGAAAGTTGCATGATTAAGTGCTGCTGGTATTGCCTGCTATTTCACTTCTCGCTTCTTTTGCTTCTCTGCCACGCTCAGTAGCACATACGTTGTTTGGAGGCATTGTAACACACACATTCTTAATTTATAGCTCATTCTGATACTCATAGCTATAGGCATACAATGGCGCTTCTCCGTCGTTTTACAGTTTACTATAATATAACACGCGTTTTGTTCACAGCTGGACAGATAACTGAAAACCTTGTGAGAAGCACCTGATTTGAAATTAGCTGCACGATGACACGATAGTTGGAAGAGATCACCACATGTATGCACAGAATGAATAAAGGTGCACTAGTATGGTACTGCACTTTGTATAGAAGAAATGCAAAAAGTACCTCATGTGACTTATGAGACCTTTCAGAACTGTGCATGTATTGATCTGTTCCTCCAGACTGTAATGAGCTGAAGATATTATTTGATGGTTTCGAACATTGAATATTTGTATGTGTTTCCAAGGAGTGCTTCATTTCTGTTCAGTTTTTTAATATATGCCTTAACTTGGATTATATATATGCATGCACTTAAGCATATCCAGTTTAGCTCTGTTGGAAAACTTGCCAAAACTTCTGTACAGTGCTCTGGTGCATTCCTATGATCGGTATCTGTCCCATTAAAAATTTTGGGCATGATTTATTGCTATATAGGGTATTTTGACAATTGATGACATGTGAAAGCCACAGTGCTTGGCTGTAATCTCAAAACCAATGTCTGTCTCATCAAGAAGTGTCAGATGCATTTTGTAGATGTTAAAGGATATTTAAACTACCAGCAAAGTGCTGAAGCCTTAAACAAAGCACTGATCCGCAATCACCATCCAGCTTAGAAGTCATTTGTAGTGCTCTCTAACACATTCAAATAAAGTTATCAAACACTGGATTGATCTACTTGGTTTGATTCCTAATACCAGTGTGTCTGACTTTTTGGAGGCACTTGTATTATAATAATGTTCTACTTCTCTGATTTCTTACCGGGGTGCACTCAAGGGTAGTGATATTTGTTTACCTTAACACACTTAATGTGATATTACTGTTTAAATCCTTTCATTTTGTATATATGTACGCCACTTTTGCAGTAGCCTCACATTGGGCTGCCGTATTTGAAAATAAATAAATATACCATCCGAAAGTGTTCCACGCTGTGCTTGGTTCCAATCTGACCACTAATATTGTTGCATCATGATGTGTCGGGTGTGTTTTATTGTATTGGAGAACATTTTGGCTGCCTTCCATGCAGGGTTCAGTTCCAGTATTATGACCAATATCTGTGACTTCATGAACAGTTGGGTGTCGTTTGTCGTTTTAGAGAATACTTTGACTAAAGACAACGTCCAGAAGTCTTGCATTAAGGTTTCAGTTCTAATATTATGACCGATATCTGTGACTTCATGAACAGTTGGGTGTCGTCTGTAGATTTAGAGAATACATTGACTAAAGACAACGTCCAGAAGTCTTGCATTAGGGTTTCAGTTCTAATATTATGACCGATATCTGTGACTTCATGAACAGTTGGGTGTCGTGTGTAGTTTTAGAGAATACATTGACTAAAGACAACGTCCAGAAGTCTTGCATTAAGGTTTGAGTTCTAATATTATGACCGATATCTGTGACTTCATGAACAGTTGGGTGTCGTTTGTCGTTTTAGAGAATACTTTGACTAAAGACAACGTCCAGAAGTCTTGCATTTAGGTTTCAGTTCTAATATTATGACTGATTTCTGTGACTTCATGAACACTTGGGTGTCGTCTGCCATTTTAGAGAATACTTTGACTAAAGACAACGTCCAGAAGTCTTGCATTAAGGTTTCAGTTCTAATATTATGACCGATATCTGTGAATTCATGAACAGTTGGGTGTCGTCTGTCGTTTTAGAGAATACATTGACTAAAGACAACGTCCAGAAGTCTTGCATTAAGGTTTGAGTTCTAATATTATGACCGATATCTGTGACTTCATGAACAGTTGGGTGTCGTTTGTCGTTTTAGAGAATACTTTGACTAAAGACAACGTCCAGAATTCTTGCATTTAGGTTTCAGTTCTAATATTATGACCGATTTCTGTGACTTCATGAACAGTTCGGTGTCGTCTGTCGTTTTAGAGAATACTTTGACTAAAGAAAACGTCCAGAAGTCTTGCATTAAGGTTTCAGTTCTAATATTATGACCGATATCTGTGACTTCATGAACAGTTGGGTGTCGTCTGTCATTTTAGAGAATACTTTGACTAAAGACAACGTCCAGAAGTCTTGCATAAAGGTTTCAGTTCTAATTTTATGACCGATATCTGTGACTTCATGAACAGTTGGGTGTCGTCTGTCTTTTTAAAGAATACTTTGAGTAAAGACAACGTCCAGAGGTATTCCATACCGGGTTCAGTTCCAATATTATGACCGATATCTGTGGCTTCATGAACAGTTGGGTGTTGTTTGTCGTTTTAGAGAATACTTTGCCTAAAGACAACGTTCAGAAGTCTTCCATGCAAGGTTCAGTTGCAATATTATGACCAATATCTGTCACATCATGAAGTGTCAGGCACAGTTAGTTGCATTAGAGCTTATTTCGACCATGGAAAATGCCCAAAGGCATTCTACGCAGTACTTGGTTCCTATCTTATGACCAATATCTGTTGTATCAATAAGAACCAGGGGTGCTTTGTTGCATTAGAGGAACTTTTCTTGGCACTGAAAGGAAAGCTGCGGATATATATTCTAGGCGCGGCTGTCGTCTTGTTGACTGGGTAGCAGTGCCACCTGAATGCCTGTATCGAGCAGGTTCTCATTCCCTTGAGGCGTGTTTGTTCATGTCTAGTCTTGCTGCGAAACCCACGAGTTCTGTCATTTGTTCGTCGAGCTTCATTGTTGAACGCTACTTAAATGAATTCGTCGCGTAGCGGTAAGAGGAAAAAGATAATATTTAATGAAGAGAAAGGAGGAGAGGTCGGCGTCTGGAAAGCGTGTTTATCCTAGCTGATACTCCTCACTGCCGGGATCCGGTTAAAGGTAAATAAACCAGCGATTGACGTAAAGGTGTGGTGTGGTGGGTTCAACCTACTCCCTTCCCCTCCAACCCGATATTTTAGATGCGAAGCAGCTCTTTGACTAGCCTGCACACTCCGTGTCAAGGCAACACCACCTAGACTATTCAGAAGGCCCGTTCATACCCCTCTCTCCAGACGGCATACGTCACGCTAGTTGTCCGATGTTATGACCGGCAC